CTCTCTCTCTCTCTCTCTCTCTCTCTCTTTTTTCGCGAGCTCATTTTCCAACTGACGTAATTAACCGCCTATCGAGAAGAGTTATCTCTCGCGCAGTGATATCTCGATCGCCGCGATCATTGAACGCTATTAAAGAGAGAAATTTCTTTCAATTTTGTTAGATATCGCAATCCGTCCGAGAGGAACTTTCACTCAACGCTCGATATGGAGCAAACGTTGCTGGAATATTTTCAGCTTGTAAACGCGCTCCGTTTCGTCATCATCTTCCTATAGATATAAGTTCGAGAACTCGTTATTATATCTCTGAATTTATTTTTTAAATACTCGAAATCTAAATAATAAATGTTTACTACCTATCGTTTCTTTATCTCTGCGTGAGCGTCGAAAGCTTATTTAAAAGCCCGTACAAAGGCACTTTGTACATTGCTTTTCCATTAAGCAGAATACGTTAAACGGCAATTACAGAGACAATGGCAGTTACAGGGACGTCCACTCCATAACGCGGCGATATGACTCTGTCTTGTCTAATTAAGCAAGGACACGAACTTAAAATTAACCACTCGGAGCGGTAGCGAACCGAGACCGGCTGGTAATTTTAAGGCACATCGTGCCATGCTCCGTGACATCATCATCCCGATACTCGTTATGAGACATGCTATGCATGTATGTTTATGTACATAACACATACATATAAACAAAGAAATCGTGTGGACGAGAGAGACCTGCAGAGTGACATCATCGCCTCTCTACGAGGGGGGTCCGCCGTGGTCCCGTTTGATCGACGATTGCGAACGTCCTTCGAAAATAGATTCGTCTTTTCCAACCGTAACCGAAATCGTAACACGACACCGATAAATACATATTGCCTTACGAAGATGCGCAGTCGGCTTAACGATCGATGAAATCATCGCCGACGCTCCGAAAAATGGCACCTTTTTCCCGAAAACAATTTGCATCTCCCCTCCCCTCCCCCGCCCTGCGAACCGATTGTTGCCGTAACAACGATGTTCTAACATCGAACGGCGTCATACCTATGTACGTATTCGAATATACTTGACCCACTTGATCGGGTGTTGCAAGTGAATGAGGATGTTCACGCTTAGCATCGGAACGAGGATGTTCATACTTAAGCTCGTCGGTAAATCGGACGATCCAGGCAAATGCTTGGCGATCGTTGCCTTGCGTGCAGGACAATAGACAGGTGTTTCTGATTTTGAGAGAGAGAAAAAAAAAAAAGAGAAAAAGAGAGGAAAAAGAGAAGAAATCACGCCAATGATAACGCTTGACGATTTAATGATGACATTTTTATCTCGATGAATCGTTACGTGAAAACCAAGGTACAACCTACCGTTGTATATATGTACATACGAGCGGCACGAAAGAGCGGAAGTGAAGCCAACCGTTTCGTATTAGTAATTTACGACAATACAATCGACCTACATTCTACCGAGGACAGGGTGGAAAACGATGGTAAAAAAAAAAAAAAAGCAATGACGACGGTGGTGGCCATTGATGGTGGTGGTGGTGGTGGTGGTGGCGGTGACCGTTTTCGATGGTGGTTTACAGCGGAAACTGTAAATTTTCGTCAACGAGTAATTCTGATTCCAGCAGTCCACGGGTGAAAATAACATTCCCTCGTCAAAACGGCTGGCTCGTCAAGTTTATAGGATGACGTCACTTGCCCACCATCTGTAGGGCACTATATTTCGTTGCGCCTTACGCTTCTTTTTGCCCGAAATCCTGCTCGTCAGCTTCTTCTCTCTCTCTCTCTCTCTCTCTCTCTCTCTCTCTCTCTCTCTCTCTCTCGCCTCTCGCGTGTTCGCCGATCATCGTCCGGTTTTATCCCGGTGCTTCTCGTGCTCCCACAGTTCGACCGTGCCCACCAACTTTTTACCACGATCGATTCAATTACGAAACTC